TAAGTCTTGGTTTCCTTACATGAAAAAGGGAATAATAATAATATGTAATCATAATCATAATACAAAATCACAAGGTTATGATTTTTAGATGAGAAATTGTACATGAGAACTTTTTGTAACTGCAAGGAGTGATTGTTTTCTACACCACAAACACCATCAAATGGTCAAATAGTGACATGCATACCAATGTGTCAACTCTGAGGAAGAAAATAGGACTCATTCCCACAGAAAATTTCAAACAGGCAAACCAATGTCTCTTACATTTATATTAGAAGATTCAAAGAAAATTGAAACTCTCTCTATATTATGTTTCTATACATAGGGAAATTGTGACTGGGTCTGACTCCATTGTTGGTGGTCACATTTCTTAGCTGGTTTCACCATTTTGACAGATGTTACAGACAGCTGAAAAACCAGCATGGCTTTCCTTGAAAATTAAATGAGTGAATAATGCAACTAAACCCGGGATATTCTGATATCAAGTAGGCACAGTCTGATAGCATGCGATTCTAATCTTTCTATTAAACTACTTTGCCCAAATTTAAGACTCTTTTTCTCTTCTCAGGTTTTATATGTGCATTTCTACTACTCCAGTTCTCCACTTTTTTTCTTTTTTTGAGACCGAGTCTGGCTGTGTCGCCCAGGCTGGAGTGCAGTTGTGAGATCTCAGCTCACTGTAATCTCTGCCTACTGGGTTCAAGTGATTCTCCTGCCTCAGCCTCCCAAGTAGCTAGGATTACAGGCCCATGTTACCAAGTTCAGCTAAGTTTTGTATTTTTAGTAGAGATGAGGTTTCACCATGCTGGTCAAGCTGGTGTTGAAATCCTGACCTCAAGTGATCCGCCTGCCTCAGCCTCCCAAAGTGCTGGGATTACAGGCATGAGCCACCACATCTGGCCAGTTCTCTACTTTTTGATTTTTCTTTGTCTTAGCAGACAGAGGAAAAGATAAACTTGTACTTGGGTTTTACACACTGTTTAAAAGATTGACAAAGTATTGTGACTAAATTCTTTACTTTTGTAGAAATATAATGTCTTTTTTGACATTTACTATTTTAAAAAAATATGAGGTCATTAACAGTGGGGGGGCTCAAGCTTCCCGCCACAGAACTTGGATAATGCTTTAGCCTCACACACGTTGTTCTAAATATAAAATATTGTTGACAGGACATTTGAATTGCTTTTCCAGTAATGGGAAAAAATGGTTTGATGTGAACCTCATTTCTTGCTTTCTTCTTTTTCTGAACAAGGACTCACATTTATAATGTAGCAGAGTGGTTAGAATTATTATCAAAGAAAAGAATGGAATCAGTTTGACTCGGTTATATGCACACCAAAACCTTGGATTTATCAGTTTTCTGCTAAAAACTTTGTAAGCATATCTTTAAGGTCATGTTCAAAAATAGAAACATGAAATTTGCTACAAAATAGAGCATAGACCACAAACTGAACTGTTTAATAGGAGAAGGCTGTGTATACGTGGGCTTGGGGATGATGAGTTTAAAAGTTATACAAAGAGAATTGTAATTTCAACAAGCCACATTTGTACTACGAATAAAGAAAGCAACTTCACTGGTTTTAAATTAAATTCTGCCAAATGTGTATCTCCCCCAGATATCCAGAGACAGAATCATAGGATTGAACTAGATGTGACCTTAGACAAAATAGATTTCCTCATTTTAAAAATGAGGAGAATTAAAGCTGAGAGAGCCTAAATGGCTTTCCCACAATAACATGGTCAAATAATTGCTGAGCTTAAGTTTGAAGTTAGACCTCCCAATATTCACTGCAATGCTCTTTTTGCTGTATCATACTGTCTCCTTGTATGTATTTTCCTGTACTTATAACCAAGTTTTTATTCATTGTAAAGAATGGCTACATATTAAGCTATAATTTTTCATACCTTGCATGTAAATAAATAGTGCAACTAGAATGGATCACTTTGCATTGATTTTTTAAAAAAAATTCCTACTAGTCATAATTCTTTGACCTTATTTGGAAATTTACATGCCACTGTCATGACTCTTTTACCACATTCTGAGACCAAATGTGGCATTCTGCTTTCTGAAAGAAATTATAAAATATAATTCTAGAGCACTTAAATGCGACTAATGTGGCCGTTGGTTTTCTTTGGACATTTATTACTTTCTTTATTTATACTTAAAATGAAAAACATACAAAGGATGAAACAGATAAGATTTCAATAGTACTCAACCACTATGGAGTAAATGGAGAAAGGCATATAATCACTTAATTCTATTGCCTTGCTTTAGTCGATGCCGCTTATAGCAATCTATAATACAAATATTTCAGGTCTATCCATCACAACAAAAATTAAATTTGTGAGACCTCGAGAGTTCTTGGATTTGCAACTTATTTTTATTAAAGATCTAGAAATTCTTTAACAGGACTTTCAATCACATCCCTAAATGGACTGACAATAGGAAAGTGATCATGTATACTACATTTTTATTAAAAAGTTGAAAGCAAATATTTTTAAACTCAGTTTCTTCAGAAATATACTTTCTGCATCCTATGAAATTGGGAAGAAGAGGAAATGATTCTCTAATTCTAAAGTGAAACTAATTTTAAGGTTTTGGGGTATAATATGGTGTCCTTTTCACTGAGCAGATAGACATACCTCTCCCATCACGACCACAATTTTCTGAGTTCTTACTATGCACCAGGTACCATAGCAGGAACTCTACGTGAATTAACTCATTCAATGTTACAGTAACCATGTTAGAGATGAGTAGATAGACAACCACAGAGATTAAGTGGCCTCAAGGTCACTTGGCTAATAAGTTAGATTCTAAAACCTGCGTACTGTAATAATAATAATAATAATAATAGCATCAAAAGCTAGAATTTGTAGAGTGTTTATCATTTGGCACCTCTGTGTCTAAGCACTTTCCATTTATTTTGACTTATGCATCCTAATCATAAACTGACATTGTAGAGAATTTTATTATCTCATGTTTTTTTTCAGATGAATGACTGAGGCTCAGAAAGGTTAAGTAAATTGCTGCAGGTCCCAGAGCTACTAAGTATGACCTTAAGCACACTTACATTCTCTGTATTTATTACGCAAACCTCTGAAAAACTTCCATTTGTAAGTTTCTGATAGGATGCTCTTTCTTTCAATGACTTTTGGACATATCTTACTATTGACTCTTGCTTAAATTAGGATTCCAAAGGGAAAGAGGTTTTTAAGAATCCAAGAAATATCTTTCACCCACTTTTTGATGGGGTTGTTTTTTTCTTGTATATTTGTTTTAGTTCTTTGTAGATTCTGGATATTAGCCCTTTGTCAGATGGGTAGCTTGTAAAAATTTTTTCCCATTCTGTTGGTTGCCAGTTCACTCTAATGATTGTTTCTTCTGCTGTGCAGAAGCTCTTAAGTTTAATTAGATCCCATTTGTCTATTTTGGCTTTTGTTGCCATTGCTTTTGGTGTTTTAGTCATGAAGTCCTTGCCTATGCCTATGTCCTGAAGGATATTACCCAGGTTTCAAAAGAAGACATTTATGAGGCCAACAAACATATGAAAAAATACTCATCATCACTGGTCATTGGGGAAATGCAAATCAAAATCACATTGAGATACCATCTCACGCCAGTTAGAATGGCGATCATTAAACAATTTGGAGATCACAAGTGCTGGAGAGGATGTGGAGAAATAGAAACACTTTTACACTGTTGGTGGGAGTGTAAATTAGTTCAACCATTGTGGAAGACAGTGTGGCAATTCATCAAGGATCTAGAAATAGAAATTCCATTTGACCCACCAATCCCATTACTGGGTATATATGCAAAGGATTATAAATTGATCTATTATAAAGACACATGCACACATATGTTCATTATGGCACTATTTACAATAGCAAAGACGTAGAACCAACCCAAATGCCCATGAAAGATGGACTGGATAAAGAAAATGTGGCATATATACACCATGGAATATTATGCAGCCATAAAGAAGGATGAGTTCATGTCCTTTCCGGGGACGTGGATGAATCTGGAAACCATCATTCTCAGCAAACTGCACATGTTCTCACTCATAAGTGGGTGTTGAACAATGAGAACCCATGGACACAGGGAGGGGAACATCACACACTGGGGTCTGTTGTGGGATAGGGGGCTAGGGGATGGATAGTAGGCGGTGGGGAGATTGGGGAGGGATAACATTAGGAGAATACCTAATGGGGGGGGAGGATGGAGGCAGCAAACCACCACGGCATGTATATACCTATGTAATAATCCTGCAAGATCTGCACATGTACATGTACCCCAGAACTTAAATTAAAACAAACAAAAAAAGAATCCAAGCAATAATAGTGCAAAGGAATTTCATGGTGGCGATTCACTTCTTTCATCATGATTCAGCATTATTTTCTGTTTATTGTAAGACATACTGCTACACAGAGTTTGGATGTTTGTTCCCTCTAACTCTCATGTTGAAATATGATCCCCAGTGTTAGAGGTGGGCATAGTGGAACGTGTCTGGGTTGTAAGAGTGTCATTCTCATGGTAGTGTGTGAGTTCTTGAGCTAGCAGTTTTCATGAGAACTGACACCTCTTCCCCCTCTTTTCCTCCTCTTCTCTCACCATGTGATGTTTGTATACCAGCTCCCCTTTGCCTTCTGCCATGAGTGGAGGCAGCCTGAGGCCCTCACAAAATGCAGATGCTTGTACGGCCTGAAGAATTGAACCAAATAAACCCCTTTTCTTTATGAATTACCCAGCCTCAAGTATTCCTTTATAGCAACACTAAACAGACTAAGACATATACCAAAGTCTAACTTTCCATAGCTTCCAAAATTAATATTAATAACTTAAAAACATTTAGATGGGGATTATAAACTAATATAAAATATCCTAATCCTATCCTCACAAATATTACCATGGACATTAAATGAAAAAATTACTTTCATTGTTCTTCATGAATTTTATCTGTATATTATTTTGCTGTAACAAAGGACAATGTTTCCAGTGTGCTTACCTGCAGAAGCTTCCATCTGGTGTTCAGGTCTTCCAGAGTGCTGAGGTTATATGGTGAGAGCTGAATGCCCAAAGTGGTAAGCTGGCGAGCAAGGTCATTCACGTGCCCCACGCTGTCTCTCAGAGGTGCAACTTCTCCTCGAAGTGCCTGTGTGAAATAATCAAAAGCAAATTGAAGGATGAGAATATTTAACACAAAGAACTGATACCTGGGAACTACAAGAGATCTTATTCTTTTTAGGATGCAGTGTCGGTAATGTTTGCTCTATGCTATGGTTTGAATGCCTGTGTCTCTTCTCGAATTCCTACGTTGAAATACTAAAAAATAAAAAGGAAAAGAAATCCTAACACCAAAGGCAATGGTATTAGGAGATGGGGCCTTTTGGGAGGTGAATTTTGGGATTATTCCCCTTACAAATGAGACCTCAGAGAACTAGCTGGCTCCTCTCAGCATGTGAGGGTGCAGTGAGAAGATGCTGTCTATGAGGAATGGGCCCTCCTCAGACATCAAATCTGCTGGCATTTTGATCTTGGACTTTTCAACCTCCAGAACAGTGAGAAATAAGTTTTTATTGTTTCACAAGCTAACCAGTTTATGGGATTTCTATTATGGCAGCTGGAACAGACTAAGACAGTCTATATGGTAGTATTATAACAATGGTTATTTGCTAATGGATGAATAATGATAACTACTATTTGTTGAGTACTTCCTAGGTACCTAATGACATAATGAGCTCTATGCACACATAAACAGATTTTATTTCTACCCAACAATCCTATGAGGCCAGTAGTTGGAAAATTCTAATTATATGAATGAGAAAACAAACTTGCAGAGGTTAAAATTTACAACTTGTCAAGCTCTCATGGGAAAAATTGAGGAACCTGGGATACATATATGCAGGTTTGCCTGTCTCTAGAATACATATTCTTACCTATTATATTATATGTTACCTTGAAGAAATTCTGGATTGGCAAAGTATCAGAAAATATATATTGCTGCTGGATTCTAAATTCTACTCATTTCACAACCAGAAATGGATCCTTATTTTTCACAATAGAAAGATACATTCAGTCATGAATGTATTGCATGCATACTTTGCACCAACCACATTGTAATAGCTTCATTTAGGGAGTAGGGTATTTTGTCAAGTCCTAAGAATGGCTTCTTGATCTGGTATTTTAGTCCTTGTAGCAATGACTTCAGAAGGCTCCCATGAGGCTTCTCAGCTGTCTCTGAAGCACTAGAGCAGAAGTCTCTGATGCAATACATCACAGCAATCTGTTGAGCGGAAGAACCCTATGCAGATATGGGGAAGATATTACCATGCATCATATCTACCCTATTGAGATGGCATTTATGGATATTTAACATGATGCATGATGTCCAAATGTTCCAATAAGCAATTTCTAAGGGACAAATTCCCTCACTTAGGAGAACAGTTTGTGTAATATAATGTCTGTGTACAAGGACAGTTTCACTTAGTTGACTGCATGTGTTGTTTTGACTTGCTTGATCTGGGCAGGTGTTATTTCTCCATCTGGTTCACTACAATGATAAAACCATTGCTTACAATGACCTCATTTATAAGGCTTGCATTTTCTCCCAGTCCAAATAAAAGGAGCAAGGATGTACATTCAGAAAATAAGAATGACATTATCCTTTCAAATCGACCTGGATACTTCATCACTAAAATGTGGTGTTGTATAGAGTATAAGATTCTTAGATAATCCAAGACATAGTGTCAGTCACTTAGGTAATAGGGATCTTACAACAAGAAATTGTTATAAGGTTCTTAGATAATACAAGACATGGTGACAATCACTCTGTTGAACATAAAGTTTTAAAAAGTAGTCACTAAAAACATATTAAGCAATCATGAGATTTATTTTGGAGGATAATGAAAATGTTCTGGTTTTAAACAATGGTGATGGTGGTATAACCTTGTGAATGTACTAACCACCACTGAACTGTACACTTTAAAAGAGTGAATTTTATAGTATGTGAATTATAAGTTAATGAAAACAAACAAAAGAGAGCCCCTTCAGACCATACACATGCAAAAATTCATATGTGATGTATTCATCTTTATTCAACTTTGTGTTAGTGGAATGTCATTGGAATCAGTGTGAAATTCAGAAAATTTTATAGTGGTTGATAGTAAATATTATTCTATTTCCTTATGAATAAAAACATGGATTAAAAGAATCAGAAGAAGTGCCCATGGAGAAAGGTGGTTTAAATTCATATACATGAATACTTATCTCTAAAAGGAAATGATCCATAACAATTTTGTTTTGCATAATAGAAAGGTTAGAAAACAGATTTCTTAAATGTCAATGGGGGAAACTTGGACAAGGACAATGATTACAAAATGAAACCACTCTCTTCTGGATAATAACGTGCATTTCTAGTACCCACAAATAAATATCATGTGAGGGCAAACTATAAACAGGAACCTCTGCAGCGAGGGCAAGCCAGCAGGCAGTATCCTTCAATATTACAGGTGAGTCCTTTGTGCTAATCAACTCTCTTTACAAGCAAGATTCTCAAGCCATTAAGTTGATTATCCCACCTCGTTAAGTCTTATCTAGATTTCAGTTCCCTTTAGGTGACACAATGTACATTTTCAAATGTCTCTTATTAGAAATATTTTGATTTTCATTTTCTCCCCCAAAGTCCTGGGCACACATTTTAATCCTGCATCAATGTTTTGGAGGATGAAGGGGATTCAAAAGTAAGTTTTGGTACTCATAATTATAATTGCAACACTCTCCCTTTTCCTCTTTTTCTTTCTTTGGAAAATTTACTTTTCTTCTGTAAGCTTTACCATAAGATCTTGTGATTTCTTTTTTTGCTCCTTTCAAGCAATGATAATGGAAGTTATCTTAAGTAATGTCCACTTAAGACTCACCAAATTAGCCAAAGTCTTCATTCTGTTTGTGAAACAACCATGATGGGAACCTTTCACAGCCTCAATAAAATGTTGGAGGTGCCTGTCAGTATGTGTGGACCTTCTGCTCCCATTAGTTGACTTGTTAGTTGTGTATATGTTACAACTGTTAGCTGTGTGTATGTTCTCAAACCTATCGTTGCCAGTTACTATTGTGATTACTTAATAAAGATTTCCTAAATCATAAAAATTTTAGTTTAAAAAGAGAAAAGTTATTTCTATAAAAACCAGACCAAATATTCCAGACAGTTGCTTCAAAAAAAAAAAAGAGAGAGAAATATTGTTGAAGTATTTGTGAACAAAAAAACTGCTAAAGATTAAGAAAACAATCCAGGCTGGATGTGGTGGCTCACACCTGTAATCCAGCACTTTGGGAAGCCAAAGCCGGAGGATGGGTGGATCATCTGAGGCCAGGAGTTTGAGACCAACCTGGCTAACATGGTGAAACCCCTGTCTCTGCTAAAAATAGACAAATTATCTGGGTGTGGTGGTACACACCTGTAGTCCCAGCTACTCAGGAGGCTGAGGCATGAGTATCGCTTGAACCTGGGACGTGGAGGTTGCACTGAGCTGAGATGGTGCCACGGCACTCACTCCAGCCTGGTTGACCCAGCGAGACTCTGTCTCAAAAAAAAAAAAAAAAAAAAAGAAAAGGAAAAGAAAAAAAAGGCAAACATTCAGTTTAATCTGAATTCCTAAATTTAATATTTGTTAAAATATTTGACAATGGAAGCTTTGACTGGTAAGAGGTCAGTTGATAAACAGATAACTGGGGGCAAAGGTTCACTTTGGGTAAGTCTCTAGATGGGCATGAGCAGACTGAAGGACTTCAGTCAGCTAGAAATCATCATGAGGGCACTAAACCCACGAAGGTAGAAGAAACGAAATAACTGATGGTAGAAAAGATAAAAAGGAAAAGGAGGCAGGAGAATAATGCTCATGTCTGTCTTCACTTTGGCAATTAACTTAGGTTTTGGTAGCAGCTCTGTACCACCCAAGGATGGCTCACTGCTGTGGGCTGTCAGTGCCCAGAAGCATACATAACAAGAATTACGGCTCCCCAAATGCAGTCTCAACACATTCCTCCTGTAAAGGGTGAATACAGGTACTTTGCCATTTAAATAGATGTGACATTGGTTTAGCTATATTTCACAGATTAGAGTTTTTAATATTATACACATAAATTTGTGTTTAAATTATTAAACACTATACCTATAATGTCAAAAAGCACAGTTAATGCTGGACAATACAATGTGCTATTTAAATAGTATCAGGATTACATTAGGTTTTATTCTAGTTTGGAACCAGTGAGAAAACATTGAAGAAAGCCTTTATACTGTGGGTTTTCCTCAAATCACTTAAACATCTGGAACATGTTCTCCATGAAAGAGCAAACCAAGTCTAATTTTATTGTGACAAGTTTCAGGCAGGCAGAATTTTCAGTTCATTAAATGTTGTCTTCTTATAGATACAAAAGTACTGATTTAGGACGATACGTACGTTTGTATCATGTTTTTTCCTGCCTGTCAGATCTTTGCTTATCTCTATGTACCTAAGGATTTGTTCAAACACATATTTAAAACTACAGACATCTACTACTTTTCTAAGAAAACAAAGGAAGTATCTATAAACAAGGGAATCTTATTTTGAGGGAGGAATTTTGACCTCACAGTTAAGAGAGCATTACTACTGCAAAGCACAGAAAGTCAGTTTGAAAGATGGGAAAAAGTAAATTGAGGGAATTCTGCTTTGAGGGGTTTTATTTCCTCTGTGAAGTAGTAGGAATCAACAGACCTGGCATAGTCTGCAGTGCCTGGCATAGCATGCAGTGCCTGGTGTGCAATGAATAGTCCTTGAATGAAAACATGAATTAAGGGTAAGTGGGGACATTTGAATTAATCGTAATAGAGAGTATGAGAGGGAGTTGACCTAAGAAATGTAACGAGGTTGGCAAACAAACAGTGTTGAGGGCCCACTTGAGGATGAGGTTCGACATTTTTTAGCAGAATCAGTCTGCCCGAATGTCTCATTTCCTCTGACAGTGTTGCATGTAAGCACGGAGAAAACAGTTGATCCAGGTTTGGGGTTTCAGCAGATGATTGTGGCTCAAACATTTAGGGATAAGAAAGTTTCAATATTAGCCAGGATGTCACTGAAAAACATGCTGTACAATCTAAACTGGATGAGGAGGACAGCA